TATATATATATATATATATATATATATATATATATATATATATTAACTACTTTTGAATATACATTATTGACGCTATGCAACGTGTGGTCAGCAAGCTAAAAGAAGGGTGGATGTCAAAGTAACCAAGGTGGGTTTATGTTGGGCAAAAGAAAAGGAAAGATGAAACATATTTTTGAGATGTAACAAATTAACAATATTGAATCATAGTTTTGATGTATGGGCTCTCATTAAGCATAGAAACTCAAATTTCCCTCTCTAATCCGTCTCGTGAATGCCGTGGATTTTATAGCAGATATGGAAAAAAGATTAGTGCGATTTATAAGAAAAACGTAACGACAAGCAAACTATCCTCTCCATTACTGTATAGATAAATTTGGATAAAAGCGTAACGTCAATTACCATTTATTTCCCAATCAAAGCAGTTTATATTCAAAATCAGTCTCCATGCTGAATGGGAAAACACAGGGAGCTGTTGGATCATAAAAGTCGTTGTTGTACAAAATGCGGTAGGGTCTAAGAAAATGGTCGATCATGCATCAGAATAGTCATCCACTTTCTCCCAACATTTGTTCCCAATAAAAACTAGCAAATGTTGGCTGTCTACATCCACCCTCCAAATCAAGTTCTTTCTCTTTATAACACTACATACCCTTATCACAATACCAAGTATAGCCCACCAAAATGCTAACCCATTGGTTTTTCATCTGTCTCGATTTGATTAGTCCATACAAATTCCTGTAATAATGTCCCTTCTATCTTTTTTCACTCTAATGGTGGAGCTCCCGTTTCATAGTCCATACAAATTCCTGCAAACGTGTACAGTCCAAACAAATTCCTGCAAACGTGTACAGTCCAAACCAGTTCAACAAAAATGGGTAGGGACCAAATGTTTTTCTTCCAGAACAATACATGAAAGAGGCTCAAAGAAAAGATGTTTATGGATGGTTATCGGGGATATTCGGTGATAGTTGTGTACTCGGTATAAAGATCAACCTCGAGATATCTTATTCATGGTTTACATGACGAGGGATCATCATTGACGTTATTGATCAATGTTGGTTCTATAAGATCTCTTATCCTTGTGCATAATGATACAGTCTAATCAAGGAGGAATAAAAATCCACTTGTGGCCATGGAGGTTCAAATGCGGTGACTCCGGGCTATCTGTAAAGCATGTGGTCGCCCTGAGATTAGTCGGTTCGCATAACGGGTTGGATATCCAGGTTAATAAAAAAATGATACGGTCTATATTTATTAAAAAAAAAATCATAAAGACAATTATCAAGTTACAGTTGATCTATGCTAAGGGTAAAATCATAACGATCATATTTCTCTTTTCAACACAGTCAAAGAAAATTATCATGTTGCAGCCGATACTAAATGATTTTATCTCTAGTTTATTATTATTGGTTCTATTTTCTTGCAATTTTTATTTCTTGTCATGTTATATCGTGCTTAATTACGCCTCAAGTATATGCATGTTAGGGGCTATGTTTTCATACCCTAATCCGTCTATTTTCAATGCGTTTGATCTATGGTTTAATTTATATATATACATACATATAGGGGCCTAATCCAATGAGAACTAATTAGTTTGTGGTAACCGTGAGATTCAATCTCAACCACAAATCAGTAGATAAATTAAGAAATTTATAATTTTGGTAATTTTGAATTAAACTTTTAATGCGAGGACATTTTAGGTATTTTAGAACTCTCATCTCTTCTCTCTTCTCTCTCCGTCCTCCGGTCACCGTTCTCCGGTGATACCACAATGATATCACAATGCATCATATATATATAAGATTACGGCATTTAATACTTGTTATTTTTTACCACAAAAAGAAGAAAGAAAATGAAAAAAGCGTTTAGTAAATTATTGAAAATTGATGAATTTAAAAGCAAGTGTTGAAACTTCTAGTAGCACTTGGACATGGTCTTGTTAAAGACGACAGGAAAGGTTTTGACTTGGAAAGATAGGGCCCCTTGTGCATAAACATTAAGGTTCCACCATCATGTGTGCCCATAATGCTACTTGGATTATTTTATCGATCATTTATGTTCCCATATTCGTTTTATATCATCTTAATGATTTTATGTTTATTTGATTAAACAATTTTTATCTTTATTTATTCTGGATTGATCAAATTGGCTTCCTAGTAGGGGTACTTATGGGTTGGGTTGATCGAGTTGAAAGCATTTGAGCAACCCAACTCAATGTTCACGTTTTTAAAAACCTTAACCCAATCCAACCTAACCCAACTCAAATCGCGTGGATTAGTCGGGTTGGTAATTTGATACATCAAAATGTTCTTTTAACCTTGAATATGTTGTTTTCTCTACTCATAATTTCTCTTTTCATCATCAATGATTTGGTACAACTTATCTATGCTACTTAAATATTAAGTATATCATATTTATCTACTTTTCTCAAATTACATATATATGCTCACATGTACTGAACATGTATACAAAAGATTTATATAGAGATGGAGAAGATATTTAAAATGTATGTATATGACGAGGGTACATGATGGCGTAATAGTGTAATTTACATATAAATAGGAACTTAGCAATTATTTTAAATTCAAGAAATAAAAGGTATCGGGTTCATTCAGTTGTGTTAGATTCAAATGACTGTAACCCAATACCTAAAGTTTGAAGATTTTACAATTCGATTAAACATTGGTTACTTTGATTGTGTTATTTTGCGTTAGTTTGGGTTGGATTG